TCTCCGCCAATTATTTTGGGAAAAACGTTTCATTTTCTGACTATATTTTTTTAATTTGTTTTTAATATAGTAACAAAGAAACTGAGGTACCTTGAAGTACCCCAGCGGTGGCTAACACCTCTACAAGACGTGTGAGGTGACAGTTGGGCTCGTTTCAAGCCCAGAAGGAGGACATCAGAAGAATGAAGATTGACGTGTATACAATTCTGTAGCTGATTTTTGAACGTTATGTTTTTGGGACGTTTTTATTCGTCCATGTCTGAAAAAAAAACTTTCAGTAACAAAAAAAAAAAAAAACAATTAAAAAAAAAAAAAAATTTAGAAAAAAAAAATGTATATTCACGTCTACTCCGAGGAAGGGATCAAAGAATGCGCGCTTAATTCATTCAGTTTATTTTTCTCGAAAGCCATATTTGTTTAGTTTCGTATCCAAACCTAAACAAAACAATTTCTCAAGAATTAAAAGATTTTTAACTCAACATTTTTATTAATTCAAACGTTATTTTTATTCTTGGCTTAATTTCGTGTTACTTTGTCATCTGAAACTTGGTTACCATTTATGATTTCCTTAAAGTTCTACGACATGCTAAAAGGCCAGGTTCTTCAAAGTTTTTTAAGTTTGGTTTAAGATGTAGTATATATATATATATATATATATATATATATATATATATATATCATTTAAACTATCCACTATCAACTGACCCTGATTTCTAAAGTTAAAAGCTCTACATGTTATTTTTATTTTTGTTTTTTTTTTTACACGTATTGAGCACCTTTCAATACTATTGTTTCCTGGTCTGATTCATCTCTGCTCATTAATCTTTTATGTATTATATATATATATATATATATATATATATATATATATATATATATATATATATATATATAGATAGATATATAGATAGATAGATAGATAGATAATATTAGTGGTAAATATACATACATATGCAAAATATATAAATACCCATACATGTATATTTTTAGAATAAAAATTCCAAGAGGAAGAATCCAGGTAGAACTCAATGTCCAGGACAGAGTAAGGATATAATAAAAGGGCTTAAACACTAATATTCCATGGTCATAATTTATTCCATTGGAATCGTAAATACGATCCAATTCATCAGACCTACAAATTCAAAAAGAAAACAGAAAAAAACAACTCCAGAAATAAAAACAGAATTTAGAGAGAGTGTAAGTATGAGGAGGAGGGAGATTAAATCTTAACAGAGATAATTTTAGGAGAGGTGGGTGGAAGGGGTTTAAGTAAGAGAAAAATGAATGTTGTCGGATGTCTAATGCATAAAGATACATTTGGTGGTGACATACACACACCATAGACAATCTAATGTTAGAATAAGAGGGAGGGAAAGACGAGGTGGGGGAGAGAGATGGGGCGGAGGAAAGTAAAATTGCGTTTACTTAAAGGGCCGCTTTGTAATTGAGAACATTTGACAAATTTAATATCGACTACAGGTTACAAATCAAATATAAACATATAATAAATAATAAATAATAAATATAACGATTATCTAATCTAGCAAGGACCTATATTTCTATGTTCAAAAACACATTGTTGTTCTGGGCTGTTAGTTAGGAGCCCGAACTCTTGCATAGTGTCTTGAGAAACCGCTTTTATCAACAGCTGCATAATATCGGGGTTCTTGCAGTGCCATGTCGCGCATGGAAGGGTGTCCTTGCAAGCACCTCCGGTGGGCAACCCTGAGACCACACTAGGTATTTACTCTGTCACCCCACTAAGACGAGTTGTGACACAAGGTCATTTTTACACGTGTACACCCGAGCAAGGAACAAAAATTGACAGTCGGTTGCGCTGGCCTCGGTGCGAGCACTGATCCCTCTCTCTGGTGCAATGAAAGTTCGCGGCCTCGGGCAGCTATTCCACGGGGCTGGGCACCTCTTAGTTTGTCTGATGATCACAAAAGCTTGAAAGCCAGTGTCAAAAACTTATATCCATACGACTGAATATATATATATATATATGAGTGTGTGTGTGTGCCGATAGAATAATTTCGCATACTAATACATTTCATTAAATGTCTTTTAGAGAGATCTTTTGCTTGTAATATTGATATTCTTGAAATGCTTCCTGTTTTGAATTGTTCTTTATGGGGCCCTGTCAGTGTTGATTATGAAGAGAATAAGACTTTTCTTGCACCGCCTCAGCACGTTAAGCTGATGTAAATTCTGAGATACTCACCATTATAGAACGCCATTGGCTTGATCTTCTGCCAAGTTACTTTGAAAAAGAACAAAGGGACGAAGATTCATGCCTGAATTAAGAATATGAGTGGAAAGCAAAGAACTTCGACTTATATTCGAACTCGGTCCGCCGATTCCGTTTCGATAATCTTGACGCAAACTTTTCTATGTTGCTATATTTTACGTTAATGTCCTTTGTCTTTGGCAAATGTTATTCCCATCGTCAGAAAGCGCAAAAGATTTATCAGTCTCGCCCTTTCCACAGACATGCACAAACTTACATAAAAAAACCATGCACACGTTATCTATTACTCATGATTAACAGCTAACTCAACTGGCGTATCATTGAAGGTATTCGAGCGACACGAAACGTAAAAGAACATAATCCGATACTTAAATGTCGTAATTTGCACATGTGAGACGACTATAATGTTTAAGGTGTTGAAATCGCTCGCACGCAGTTGTGGTCTATTATAAATTATTTCATCTTTTTTTTTCTTTGTTCCCATTTCGCAGATTAATGATAGCCATTATGTGCAAACATTATCTTTCAGGGTCTTTGATCATCTTCCTATAGGCGTCACGTTCGAACTCTCTCGTCTTTTGTCGCTCATTGAGATCTTATCTTCTAACTCATCACAAAACTCGCGTCAGTTTTTCTCCTTGGCTTTTGTATTCCATTGTCATAAACTTTATCCTTTTTTTTTCTTCGTTCTCTCTACTGTTTCAAAATGTCGCGCCTTTCAAATTTTCTACAAAATAGACATATATATATATATATATATGTGTGTGTGTGTGTGTGTGTTTGAAGATGAGAAATCAAGACTGGTGGAAGAAATCTATCTCTATCGCCATTTTAAATGGATACATTAAAACCAACAGCAGATATTTTTCAAAGGCGGGACAGCAAGAATTGATGTCGTCTGCATTCGTCGTTTTTGCCGCTTTCCCATAGAACTAGTTCCGTCCCATTTTTCGCGTTATCCGATTCTTAGCGAATAGGTGGGGAAAGTTCCTTGCTTTGTACTTCGTAGTAATTCTACATCAGTTGAACAAATAAATAAATAAATAAATAAATACCCCCCCCCGCAAAAACAACAACAACAACAAAAAGCAATAGTTAAAGCAAAAGCAAAAAAAAAACTATCAAAAAAGAAAAATACCAATAAAAAATAACGAACAAAATAAACGATTGATCGATTCGTTTTCTACGGCTTATCGAGCCTTTATAGGTTATTTAAATCCAGAATTTTTTTATTTTAATCATTTTTTTTTAGACAATAATAGTTGTAATGATAGGAATCTTACTAAATAACCCCTAGTTGAATGGAGAAGTGGTGGATTCAGACCTTTCCCATGAGCCTTTGCGCGTAATATAACCAACCCAACGGAAATTGAAACTCACTTCTCCGATTAACTATTCCGAACCATTATCCATTACATCACTTTTACATCCAAACGTGCAGCACCTGGTATTCCTAAACGGTCACCCATCCGGCCAGGCTCGCCGTTGCTTTCAACGTGAAAAAAACAAACAAACAAAACAAGCAAATATACTATCATAAAAATATATATTACCAGCAGGCTTTACCCACTCTTTATCGCTTCGCAAATTAAGATACACTACTTGAAATCTTTGAAACAAAAATGTTGAAAGAACATTTCATTCATAAATTGGTTTGTTATAGTTAAGGAAAGTTTTACAAATAGATGCCAACTTGTTGAGGTCCAAGTAAAATGCAAATTTCAAACACTTTTCTGCACTATATAAGACAATATTCCTAAACAGAAATATTTTTGATATGAAAATCAAAACAATCAAAGAACATTAATGAAGGACAGTTAATTAATAAAATAAACTTTTTTTTAAATCATTATTCATATAGATTCCATAATATAGGTTTTACTTAATTAAGCTCTTATTTTTCTCTAACTTTTCAAATGTTAAATGTATAACTAATTCTCATTTCTATTTTCCCATCTTTACACTATATTAATTTTATCTTATAAATTGTCCCCTGTTCTGTCACCCATGAAGTAAAAATAATTGTTTGTACGGAAAATAAGGATCTACGTACATCAAATCTTCTTTAAATTAAGTAGCAGAACCAGAATTATCGTTGAACTTTTAAAAGATAAGCTTAAACATTAATTCAATGGTTAAATGCAGCGATCAATTTTCAGTTCTGTAATTTATTGATGCCTATCTCATCTACTCCTACCTAGCTATTGCGATGATGGCTAGACCAAGAGTTGTTTAGACACATACATGGACAGACACAGACACACATACGCTGTGCTTTATATATAAGATTCTGTAAATATTCTCCATATAAGTGCATGCGTATTCCCTAACTAGATTTACATTTTTTTTTACTGATAATCCACTCAAATACAAATGCTCAAGAGCCACTCAAGGTTACTGAATGAGATTGTAAGGGAGGGAAAAGTAAGACAGTGTTATGAAGACGAATAGGATAAGTTATGGTTAACACAACTTAAGGAGACCAAAATTGTACAGGATGCTCCGAAGTCTTGTCACCCCTACAAAAAATATATATATTTTTTTTATTCCAGATGGCTAAAACGATCTCCTACAGTTTGGAAGAGAAGTAGGGGATGACAAGGCTTTTGGACCACCCTGTAGTTGTCTGGGAAGCATCCTTGCGGGAGTTTGTTATTCAAATTGAGAGTTTTGGCTGAAGAATCTATCTGAGTGAAACGTTTTTTTATCAAAGGAACACAAAGAGAATGGGGATGGGTTGCTTCAGTAATTAGGGATGGTTTGCTGCAGTGATTGGGGATGATTTGCTGCAGTGATTGGGGATGATTTGCTGCAGTGATTGGGGATAGTTTGCTTCAGTGATTGGGGATGATTTGCTGCAGTGATTGGGGATAGTTTGCTGCAGTGATTGGGGATGATTTGCTGCAGTGATTGGGGATAGTTTGCTTCCGTGATTGGGGATGATTTGCTGCAGTGATTGGGGATAGTTTGCTTCAGTGATTGGGGATGATTTGCTGCAGTGATTGGGGATAGTTTGCTTCAGTGATTGGGGATGATTTGCTGCAGTGATTGGGGATAGTTTGCTGCAGTGATTGGGGATGATTTGCTGCAGTGATTGGGGATAGTTTGCTTCAGTGATTGGGGATGATTTGCTGCAGTGATTGGGGATAGTTTGCTGCAGTGATTGGGGATGATTTGCTGCAGTGATTGGGGATAGTTTGCTTCCGTGATTGGGGATGATTTGCTGCAGTGATTGGGGATAGTTTGCTTCAGTGATTGGGGATGATTTGCTGCAGTGATTGGGGATAGTTTGCTTCAGTGATTGGGGATGATTTGCTGCAGTGATTGGGGATAGTTTGCTGCAGTGATTGGGGATGATTTGCTGCAGTGATTGGGGATAGTTTGCTTCAGTGATTGGGGATGATTTGCTGCAGTGATTGGGGATAGTTTGCTGCAGTGATTGTAGATGTTTTGTTAACGTCATTGGGTATGGATTGCTACCGTGATTGGGGATGGTTTACTACAGCAATTCGGGATGGTTTGCTGCAGTGATTGGAGATGGCTTGCTCTCGGCCCCAAAAAGTAGCGGTTTGTGGACAGATGCTGTTCGAGTGTACCTTACGGCATATGAAAGGAATGAAGGTGCTCCGCTGCAACGTTTCTGGCACGGGGTATCGCGTAGGTTAGAATTAACGGAACAAAGAGATGTAACTCACTCGAACATCTGCCATAGTAATAGCTATATAGTAACGAAAATCTGGCGACGTTTCGCCTGTAGGTGAAGGGTTGCACTCGCAAAGCAAGTAAAAACAAGCCTTACCATCGGTGACAATCTTTTTATCAGATGTATGTAATGATACTTGTCTGATACGTGGATATTAGATCTTTCCTCTTTGTAAACTTGATATAGAGCGTAAACAAATTGATTTATTTTAAACATAAAGAAAAAAAAGAAAATTAAATATTATATATCATTTTAAATAGTTTTCCTCCAATTGCGAATTTGTATCAGCTAAATTTAAAATATCACAATGAATATTAAAGAAACCTAAAACAACGCTTAACTCCGATACAACCGATTCAAAAAGGATTGAATTTACAAAGAGATAAATACTGCAGTGGCAAAGGGGGACTTGGATATAGGGCATGCAATCGCGAATATTTCTTCCTATACGGCCTACCGTAATATAACGTCATTTATTCTTTGCCTGCCAACTCTACAAGCTACTTGTTACTTCAACAGCTGCGTAAGAAAATTTGCAATTTTTACGTAAACTTTATGTCAAAATTTCGAACTACATTTTTTGCCATTTTCTGACATCTTTCGTCAAGCGATAAGAAACTTATTTAAACATTTTTTTTAAATAAAAATAAAAATGTCTACGTCTCGTTAGGACAGAAACTGTTAATTTGATGAATTGTGAACAGGATTAAACCAAAATTAATCACTTTTCTTCTTAAAAAAAGCAGTGAAAAACAATTTTTTTGTGAGGGGTAGGTGGGTCTCATTTACTTACGCAGCCGGTGAAGTAACAAGTAGCTTGTAGTTTTGTTGGCAGACAAACAGTAAATGACGAAATATTACGGTAGGCCGTATATGACAAAATATTCGTGACTGCATGCCCTGGATCCAAGTCACTTTTTGCAACTGGAATGCTGATATAGTTAAGAATAAATAAAAACCGTTACGAGAGGTTAGTAATTCAAACTGAAACACGTTAAGGGAAGCACTAGTGTCATCGACAAAAAATGTCATCCAAAGGAAAAAGAGACAAAAAAAAAAAAAAAAGTGGATGACAGATGAAATTCTAAAATTAAAGATAAAGAGACACTAGGTAATGACAAACAAAGAATATAGAATAAAAATAAAATATTATATATAATTTTAAAGAGCAGATTCCCCACAAAGCTATTTCTATAAATATTTTTATGGTAATTGTTCGAATGAGCTCTTCACATACACTTTTTTTTTTACATTTAAGCGAAGTACTAGACTGGCGTCGAGATCTCATCAATTTACAGTTGAGTTGGCTAGATGTAGCCGTAAGTTCTATGCTAACAGTTTATTCTCTCGCACTTTCCGCTTGTTTCTGGCTCATTGCTTTTCAGCCAATTTTAATCCGCAAAAATTTACATACAACGTCAATCACTATTTACTGTCCTCCAGATTACTCTTTTCTCTTCTTTCTCATCATTAATATTTATGTTCCTAGTTCTTCCACACTTTTTCTCGCACTTCCCATCTGTGGAACCCCATTCAGATTTCTTGCTTCCCTGATAACGACAATTTTCAAAAATTTAAATACAATGTCAATCGCCATCGTCTGTCTTCTTGAACCATGTTTCTTTTCTCTCCTTTCCTTAATCCTCACCATTCTCAATATTTTCATTCTCAGGACATCGATATGGATCAAATTCCCTACAGATGTAATATTGGCCGAGTCTAGCTTACACTACTTCTCGACATAGTACCTTTTTCATTTTGGGGGCATTTTTTAAATCATTTCACTCCAAGCAAGGCAATAAAGCCACTAAGGGTGAATGAGTTACTGAGTGTGAAAAAATATGAGAAAAAGAAGACATTATTAAGAGAACAATAGAAGAACAGGATTTAAGAAGACAGAAGATAACCAGTATGGATGTGGATGGATTAAACTCCTTACAGCAGTAATAGACTCCGAGATTTTCTAACCACTTATCGTCGTTGAGACTTTTCTCAATTTCGGGGCATCGATATAGATCAAACTGCCTACAGATGTAATATTAGCCGAGTCTAGCTTACACTACTTCTCGGCGTAGTAACTTTTTCAATTGTGGGGCATTTTTTTTAATCATTTCACCCCAAGCAAGGCAATAAAGCCAGTAAGACTGAATGAGTTACTGAGTGTGAGAGAATATAAGAAAAAGAAAACACTGTTAAGAGAACAATAAAAGAACAAGAATTAAGAAGACAGAAGATAACCAGTATGGATGTATATGGATTAATCACCTTACAGCAGTAATAATTTCCGAAACTAGCTTGTTAACCACTACTCTTCGGCGTAGTGCATTTTGCAATTGTGGGGCATCGGTATGTATCTCCATAAAGGTATAAAAACCTCCGATACTGGCTTGTTAACCATTGCTGCTCTGTGTAACGATTTTTTGCAACTGTAGGGCTTCAGTACAGATCAAACGGCCGATATATTTAATAATTTCCAAGGCTTGGTAATCACTATTCCTCGGCGTAGAGACTTTTGCAACTTTAGAGCATACTTGTGAATCTAATTAAATGCAGTTGTAATAAACTCCAAGATATGCTTACTGTTTGTTACTCCTTCGCGTAAATCCTTTTGCAATTGTGAGAGTATCATAATAGAAAAAAAAACTCAAATAGTAGTAATAACCACAAAGAATTGCTTACTAACTATTTACTAACCATTACTCCTGAGCATAGGGATTGTTGCCGTTGTGGGAGTATCAGAATAGATCAAAATTCCTACAGTTGTAATAGCCGCCGAGAATAGCTTACTAAATATTACTCTTCGGCGTGGGCAACTCGAGGCGGTGTAATGGTTAGCAAGCTTGTCTCGCTAGAACAATTGCAACTGAGTCGTGAGTTCGATCCTCACTGGATACTTTATACGTTTAGAAAATCGCTATTACTCTTCGGCGTAGAGCCTGTTGGTGTTGTGAGAGTACCAGAATATAACAAAATTTCTACAGTTCTAATAGCCAGCGAGACTAGTTTACTAACTATTACTATTCGGTACTCCTCTGCGTCGAAATTACTAACTATTACTATTCGGTACTCCTATGCGTCGAAATCGTGGGAGTATCAGAATAGATCAAAATTTCTACAATTGTAATAGTCACCGAGGCTAGCTTACTAATCATTACTGTTCGGTGTAGAGCCTGTTGTAATTGTGTAAGTATCAGAGTCGATCAAAATCCCTACAGTTGTAATTGCTACCGAGACTAGTGTACTATTTCTATCCGTTATTCTTCGGTATAGATCCCCTTGCAGTTGTGTAAGGATCAGAGTAGATCAAAGTTCCTCCACTTGTATTAGCCACCGAAACTTGTTTACTAACTAATTACTAAGCGTTACTGCTGCGGAGTAGAGTCCGTTGCAACTGTGGGAGTATCAGAATTGATCAAACTTCCTACAATTGGAATAGGCATGTGATTAAGTTACTAAACTTTACTCCTAGTCGTTGAGCCAGTTGCAGTTGTGTAACTATCAGAGTAGTTCAAAATTCTTACAATTGGAATAGCCACCGAAGCTAGTTTAATAAATATTACTTCTCAGATTATATCCTGTTGCAACTGTGTAAGTATCAGAGTCAATCAAAATTCCTACAGTTGTAATTGCTGCCGAAACTTATTTACTAACTATTATTAAACGTTACTCATCGGAGTTGAGCCTGTTCAGTTGTGAGAGTATTAGAATTGATCAAAATTCCTACAATTGTAGCAGCCATCGAAACTAATTTACTAAACATTACTCTTCGGCGTCGAACCTGTGGCTGCTGTATAAGTATCAGAGTAGACAAACTTTTCTACAGTTGAAATAGCCGCCGAGACTAGCTTACTCATCATTACTGCTAGGCGTAGAGCCTGTTGCGGTTATGTAAATATCAGAGCTCATCAAAATTCCTGCAGTTCTAATAGCCACCCAGAGTAGCTTCCTAAACATTACTCTTCAATGTGGTGCATGTTGCAGTTGTGAATTAAACGCGCTAAGTTGTAACAGTCTCCTAGACTTGCAAACCGCTGTTCCTGCTGTGGTACACCTATATGAATCAAACTCGCTACCATTTCTCAGCCTATAGCCTGTTGCAATTGTGTAAGTATCAGAGTAGATCAAAATTCCTACAGATGAAATTGCTACCGAAACTTCTTTACTAACTATTATTAAACGTTACTGCTCGGATTAGAGTCTGTTGCAGTTGTGGGAGTATTAGAATTGATACAAAAATCCTACAATTGTAGCAGCCACCAAAACTAATTTACTAAATATTACTTTTCGGCATTGAACCTGTAGCAGCCGTATAATTACCAGAGTAGACAAACATTCCTACAGTTGAAATAGCCGCCGAGACTCGCTTACTCTTCATTACTGCTAGGCGTAGAGCCTGTTGCAGTTGTATAAATATCAGAGCTCATCAAAATTCCTACCGTTCTAATAGCCACCCAGAGTAGCTTACAAAACATTACTCCTCGGTGTAAAGCTTTGCAGTTGTGGGAATATCAGAATAAATTCCCACAGTTATAATAGCCACAGATACTAGTTTGCTAACTACTACTGTCTGTTACTACTCGGTGTTGAGCCTGTTGCAGTTGTGGGAGTTTCAGAATAGGTCAAAATTTCTACAATCGTAATAGTCACCGAGACTAGCTTAATAAACATTACTTCTCAGCATAGAGCCTGTTGCAGTTGCGTAACTATCAGAGTAGATTAAAATTCCTACAGTTCTAATAGCCACCGAGACTAACTTACTA